ATGGAAACTAACTATTACAATAAAGTAAAAGTCATAAAACTCATTCCTTTTGTAAATTTGTGTACACAGAGTTGTCTATTGGAGAGGTGAGTGGTATATAAATTTAATAAATAAATTATATTTATAATTTAATAAATAATAGTAAATAAATAATAATCCTGACTTATTTCCAGGGGTAATACAATGCTATTTTGCTTAAGCTGGTCTTTAGTGGACTCATAACTTTTTAAAATTGTGGTTGACCTTATAAATATTTGTATTTTACTTTTTGAATACCTTGGTGGGTCTTAGTGGTATCAAATTCAAAAAAAGCAACAGACAAACAGTGAAACAGCCAGGCAGTTAGAGATAAAGATTTATTTCAAAGACCTATTGTAATATACACACTCTAGGATAAGAATAATTTGATGGAACATTCAAAGCTAAATTCAAAAATGTCATATAAGATCTGTTCTATAAAAGGCTAAACCCAAAGGGGTTTTAGCAGAACATCTCTATTCTAACAGGTCCTGAAGCATCCTGTGGTCTATCAGAGAAACCAAACAGCCTTTTAATACTGTATTACAGTTTCTCATCAAATATGAATCTAGTTATTTCAGATTCAGCCTTTGGCAATGATTTCCCCCTTTTATGTTATGGAATGTTATCCACTACTGATGTATATTAAATATATAAAGCAAACAAGAATCTCAGTTGATTTTGAAAGAGAAAATGATAATCTCCCAATTGTTTGTTCAACTTCAAAATACTCCAGTCTCTTTGTTGTGTGCTACTGCTATTTATTGTATGAAAATAACATTCTACTGCTGGATATTTATATTAAAATATAAAAATACAATACTGTTCACATATTTTAGTTTTGCTTTTTATTAAAATATTTTAATGCAAGTAAATTCTTCCATTCATAAAAAAATAAAAAATTAACCATAAGCTGTTAGATGTTTTACAGTTCCCTTGTAAGAAAGGCTGCTTTTAAAAAAAAAAACTGTAGTACTGTTTTCAGCAATTTCTTTATCTCTGTTCTTCTAAGTAAAGAAAGCTTATTAACAAGCTTTGAACTTAAAATCACATTTACAATAATGTGCCATCAACAGTTTTATAAGCTAATTAGAAAAAAAGATTAATTAATGACTGGCTGCTAATAAAATGGCAATCATGAAGAAAGAAACCAAGGGTGCTAAGCTTCAACTACCACCAATTAAGAGCTAATTACAAACAAATTATATATGTGTTTTGCTGTGGGCTTTAATTTACTAAAATGGTTTTAATTAAAAGAGAAAACATGCTGATTAATTGAACTGCAGAAAAAATCTACAGTATAAACTGTGCTTTGTCTCTTTAATTAGACTTGTAACATTTGATTTTTTTTAAAGGTTTGTTAAAAAAGATATACATAATTAAGAGGGCACATGCTATACAATCATAGGTGATAACCCCTGTCATATAGTAAAGTTTAAGGCAAAACACCCTGATCAAGGGAAAATGATTCGATTAAGAAAACAGAATAATTAACAATACAGTGCAGTATTTGTCCATAATTCTTTCCAAATATAATAAATAATTTGAAAGTTATATATGGTTTTTGTCATTAATTTTTTAAAAATATTTGAAGAGTTAAAATATTAATAAACTATATTTCTCTATATTACATAAACTGTTTTTTTAAGCATTATTTTTGCTGAAATTGTGGTATATAAATTTAAATATTTTTTTCTATATTAAATTATGTGCCACAAAATTCTTCTACATAAACACTTCAGATAGAGGGTATAATGCATAGGAGAGGAAATCATTAGCTTTCTGTGTGCTTGTACCTATGAATTACCACATTGCGCTCCATATTAAATACTGCAATAGAACCTGATTATTGATTCTTTTAAAGTGGGAAACAGTTTAAATGTTGATAGGATACTTAACATAAATGGCTATCAAGCATACAGTTATTTATATATCAACAAGGTGAGTAAGTCAACAGAAAGAATGTAAAAATTAGGAATTATGATAGAATACACAAATCAATTTGAATTATTTCAAACAAAAATAAAGAGCATATTCAAACAATAATTATAATTGTGAAATCATTCATATCAAATGCCAGAAAGCACTGGCTGATATCTAGAACAGTTTTGATAGTATTATTTGTATTTAGAAAACAACTAAAGTAATGTAGGATGTAATTCTGTAGTCATTTGCTTAAGAGTAATCCCTGATATACTCAATATAATTTACTTCTGAGAAGACATGAGAAGAATTAACCTATCAAGTTTCTCGATGGGCAATCAAATAAGAATTATTTTTTCTCTTTTCAAGACATAGTTATTTATTTTTTTAACCAAAACACAAAAAGCAAAAATATAGCAAACCTACAGGTTACTTATACTTATGTCATCACACAAGCAAAAATTTTCATCTTAGAAATCTGCAAGACTGATTTCGTTTTTTATATCCCTTGACTTTTAAGGCATCCATATAACAGCAACTAATACTTGGGGTATATAAGGCTTGAATGGGTTATCTGCTTTAAGGAAGCCTCAATCATACCACTCCACTGAAGGAGATTCACAAACTGAAGTGGGTAGCTGATTTAAAGCAACAAACTGAACTGATTGGCTCTAAAGCTTTTCAGAGATTCCACAGCTTTTTCTGATGCTTTTAGAATTTTTGCAAACACAGAATATTACAACCTCAGTTCCATACCTTGGGGGGATATTTGAGTGTTGTGATAGGCTCTCTATTATTATTATGAGCAACCAGTAAATAAGATTTACCACTGCATTAAACTCTAGGGTGATTCACGCTCTTTTGGAGTAGCAAGGCTAACATACTTTGGGCTTCATTCACTTTTTCACCTCTCAGCTTCTTTAATGTGGCTAGCCATAAGCCCCAACTTTGCTCTCTCTTTTTCTAATGGAATGTTATATTTCCATGCTGTTGCTGCAAATACAATTAGGGCCTTAATTCAGCTTTCAGCATTCTAAATATTGGCTCAAGGCTGATCTTACTTTTACATTCTACATAATAGGGCAGATATAAGCCTTGATAATGAATGAATGGCCACCAGATTAACATGGCTCAAATTTACTGCTTTAAAAGCAGAAATGATCTGTAGCAAGACTACAGATATTCTTTCTCTGAGTCTCTTTCTTTGTTACATTGCAGCAAGCTACTTCTGCTGCTTCTCCCAATACTTGCCACAATTCTGGCACAATCAATTACTGATATTGAATAGGTCATTTCCACGAAAGCCAAACTTGCCAACAACATACATGAACCCTCCTGACTCCGTAAGAAATTCAGTGATCACCTTCACGATCCCTATAAATCTTCCTTCCTGGAAGAGGTCCAGTTTTGTCAATGTGCCCTACCCAGCTTGGCACAAGGCCAAGGCCAGTGAAAGTGGATCATTCCCAGGAGGGACCATCTTTTCAACCAGCTAAGCCAGCACTTCTGGCAGTGCTGAACACCTATGCTATGTTTCCCACTACTTCAGAAAATCTTGTAATCAGATAAATTCTATGCCATGCAAAAAAAAGCAAATAAAATATATGTCATGACTGAACTGAGATGCATAAGAGCAAGTAATGACCATCAATAGAAATTGTAAAAAAAATACCCTATTGACAAAAAAGGTTCTTATAAAACAAAATGACCACTGATTTAAGATCAAATTGTTCAATTGGACAAATGTGCCAGCCAACAATAGGTGGGAAAATAGTGAACACTGAAGGAATCAAGATGCCCTGTAGAAATAATATCAAGAGTTTGGATGAAGAAGATCACTTTAAATATCTTCAGGTTGAGAACATCAAGCGCACTGAAGTTAAGAAGGTCAGTAATGAAAATGGGTGTGGAAGGTAGCAAATAACCAGATAGTTGGTTAAGGGCGGGGGAAGGAATGGAAGAATATTTGAAGAAGATGCACTGAAGCTACTACATCATGAAGGCTTACCGAACACCAAAGAGATGAAAATGGTCTAAAAGTAAGACCAGATGAAGAATAGAGAAGAGGCATGGCAAAGCAAAATATTACACAGCCATTTAATAATAAAAAAAAGAACCTGCAAGCAAATCAGTCAACAAGATCTGGCAATGGCTAAGAACAGGAAAGTCAAAGCAAAAAACAATGAGGCTAATTTTGGCTGCACAAGAGCAAGCATTAAGATCAAATGTATACAAAGCCAGAATGGAGAAGACATCAACAGAAAATACCATCTCTGCAAAGAAGCTAAAGAAACAGTGGACCACCTGGTTAGCTGCTGCAAGACAATTGCACAGACTGATTACAAGCAGCAGCATAACAAAGTAATAACAGTGGTGCATTAGAATATCACCAAGAAATGTCTTGCCTACAAGCAAGAAATAACTGTATAAAAATGAAATTGTTGTTGTTGTTTATAATAATGTGATATTACAGCTATAGTTCTTTAACTGATGTTGATTTTCAGATACATCAAGTTCTTCCCAACAACCTAGGATGTGTAATGTAGTAGTGGATGTATGTGCAGATCTCTGCAATGTGATATGTTGTAATTGACAAGATGGATATTTTGTCAATGTGCTGATTTTCTGAATGCTGTCAAAGATCCCAGTGTGCTGATAACCACTGGGATCACCACAGGTTTATTGGATTTTTATCCTGCCTTTATTATGTTATAAGGAACTCAAGGCAGCAAATATACGTAATACTCCTTCCTGCTCCTATTTTACCCACTCTTAACAACCCTTAAGGTAGATTGGGGTATGGAAGGGTGACCTGCCCAAAGTTGTCCAGCTGGCTTTCATAGTTAATGCAGGACTAGCTTTCTAGGACACCACTTTAACAACACACCAAAGGCCATAATCTTATTATGGTTAGCTGCACAGTCAACCAGGTATTTAGACTGAAAATGGCATTTTATCTACTCATTGAGTCCTTCCCAAGGACCTGTGACAAGTAGATGTTGTTTGATGGATGTTAAAAATACTGTCACAAGATCTATATAAAGCTACCTTTTGCAATAGGCAACGGGCTGATGGTGATTTTGTCAATACCAATGATATTCAAGTAGTGCTCCAGAGTTTTTGGGATTGTACCCAAGGCACCTATTACTATTATCTTTGTTTTCTTTTGGCATAATTTTAACTTCTGTCTTCAACTCTGGTATAATTTGGTACTGCAATGTCCAATTTATGGACTTTTTATTTTTCTTACTGACAATTGAGTTTGGGGTGTTATGTGGCAAGTCTGTTTGAATTCTAAAGTCCCAGAATACTTGAGCTTCTTCATTTTCTATAACTTCTATTAATCCCACCAGTTCTGGCTTGTGGGCAGATGGTACTTCTTGAAAATGTTAATAACAGATCACTATTTCTTTGTGTTAATTCTTTGTATAGTTTTGATGAGTATACAACTTTTCTTCCAGTAATCCACAGCTGCTGGCCCTTGTTCGACAACCAACAGTCCTGAATCCTGTAGTTTATTTGTCCCCAGATATCCAGGTACATCCAGCAGAATCCTTATTGACCCAATCGACAACTATTCTGGTATAAATTACTTCTTACCATATTGCTTATGGGAGAGACATTATTTGCTTGGCTCCTCTAATGAGACCTGTACATTATAGCTGAATCTCTAGCTGTCATCTTCCTCAGAATACAAATGCCCCACAACCACCTCAAGGTAGTGCTTACTGAGGGTTAATACTCACAATAATGTGAAGTCACAGCTGCTAGTTCTTTAATTGATGTTGGTTTTCAGATGTTTCAAGTTATTTCCCAGAATCTAGGATGCCATAATATATTAGCGCAGTATATGAGCAGATCCAAGCAATGTGGAATCTTGCAACTGATAGATGGAAATGTTGTCAATTTTCTAAGATTTATGGATATGACACCCACTGTGCTGATAACAACTGGGGCTACTATGGCCAGTTTAACTTCAATTTTCAAATCTTGACATCTTGATACCAATTTTTAAAACTTCTCCCAAATCTTTATCATCTATTCTACTATCCCCTGGAATTGTCAACACAATTTTGAACCAAGATATATCCAGCATGTTATGACATTATTTGATTAAACATTAATATTGTTAAAAGGGAAGGAATATAGCATTTGTCTATTTGATCAAAGTTAAACCAGATGTTATTACTTATTAATAGGCTTTTGTTGACCAAGCTGAATGAGGAGGGTTTAAGAATATGCCCATTGATAACAGATATATGGGATAAAGTGATGGTTTCCTATATTTTAAGAGAAAATGTTGTTTAAATTGTTTATACTAGTTGAGATGAAGAGGGAAGTTACTTTATTTCTTTTTTGTTATAGTCTTTTTTCTTTTTCTTTCTTTACATTTTCATTTTCTTTTTTGTACTTTGTACTTTTTCTTTCTACTTTATTTTTTGTAGTTTGTATTAGCTTTCTTCTGTACAATTTAGTACTTAATAAAATTATTTGAAAAATATATATTAAGAGCACTACTGACCATGAACACAGGTAAACTGGCAAACACTGTTATGCTGTATAGTATTTTCCCCAAAAGCTTTTGAAGAAGATATTCATCAAACAGTTGACTATTACAGTATCTCAAAATCTTACAAAGATACCCAGATAACAAAAATATCAACAAATCTGATATTTATCTGACTATTTTGTAAACATTATTTGTTGACAATTCACAGAAATATAACAAATGTACCACCCATACAATAAAAATTGTTTTTTACACAGAATATCCTAAACTATTCTATCAATATTCACCTTAGGAATAAATTAAAATATTTCTCATAATTCCTGATGCCTCAGAGAAAAGTTCACACTTGTTAAAAAAAAAGCACCCCAAACTCTTCTGAATATTCATTTCTTAACACTATTATATCAAATTAACAATAACAGTGCAAAGAGGATTGTCAGGTATATTAAAATGTAATTGCATCAAGTGTAGCATAGTAAAATAAAGTTACTCGTGTTTCAATCTGCTGTTTCTATTCGGATTATGTATATTATTTATAATTTCTTCAATTCCCAGGCAATCTGATTCCATAAAAATTGGTTCTCACTGTGACATAATGATAGTACACTGACAGCTGTATTTTAGCATTGCTTAGCTCTTCAGGGCATGTTTCATAGCTTCTCTTAGCCATCTCTTTATTTTTGGCCTCATTTCCCCTTTAAATACTCATGCTGCTCTATCTGTTTCACAGGCTTATAAATGTTATACATCAAAATTAGTTTCACTTATTACAGAAGGAAACATTTTAAAGCATTCTGGAATCCATGCCTCAAAGCAAAGGCTTTATCAGCGGGTTCCTGTTACTGCTTTTTGAGAAAGGAAAATATCAGTGATCAAAACTGTACCCGATCTCTACAGAATACTTACTTACTAAACATTCATTCATCAAATTCAAAAGAAAACAACTATATCAAGAAATTTATTTATTTTAGTTGAAAATACATAAAAGCAATAGTGACACTTAGTAACTTGTAGTCAACCTTTATTATTATTTTTTAGAATTTGGTCATCTAAAGAATATGAAATAAAAAAGAATAGAAATCTGCAAACAATGTTACCTAATATTCAGGCCACTGATTACATTTCTGAGAATTCAGAATTTCAAAAATAGTAAGGAAAGTCTTTGTTAAATGATTGCATCTCAAAAAGGGAATTGAAACCTTGTTTAGAGTTCTCAGTAGAGAACAATTAGTAACTGTACTTGCTGTCTATTCATCCCATCAATAAAAGAAAATAATAAATGTGCCTCAAATATTAATTATACAAAAAGTCATACAAAACAAGGGCTGTTATTCCTCAGTTAACAAAAGGAATTTGGGCTAGAACTGACACCACTAAGTGAAACAATCATAAAGCATGATGTCATGTTACCCCTTCATTTAGTGATGGCAATGCTAGTAGTCCTAGAAGTCATTATTATGCGATGACCCCACACAACGCAAACCTCTCAGCTTCCCCATTGACTGTATTTGTGGAATACTGATGGGAAAGTTGCAAATTGCAATCATGTGACTACAGGGATGCTGCAATGGCCCGAATGCTAAGGACAAGTCATAATTACCATTCATTCATTTATTACTGTTTCAATAGTTAACTACTGAATGAATAGTCATTAACAGAGGACTACCTGCATTATACTTTATATGAAAGTTGATAATTAATTAGATAAAAGGCTGGAAATAAACAATATCAAACTTTTCCCCTTAGTTGCCAATTTCATCATAAAACTTTTTATTTCCAAATAACATAATTGACTGTTTTTCTCTCATTAAACCTGGTAGGCTATCCTAAATCAGGTCAAATATATAGTTCTTCACCTCTTCAATCCAATTAATTAATCATAGCTCAATAAATAATAGCCACAGACTATTGATGTATCTTTTTACTTTGTACCTTGGCACTATCCCTTACCAGTTTATACAGTCTTTCAATTAAGATTGAGAAATTATTTTAATTAACTCATGTAAAACAGTTAATAGAAAATATAGATTTGATAAACCATACATAATATATAGTATAATTTACCATTTAGATACAAGAGCAAAATCTATTACGTTATGTTAATTTATTTGTAGGCTATGACATCAGATTGTAAAGAGGATTTCTTAATGTGAACATTTAGAATTAATCAGAGTGGCCTCATTCTTTTGTATTATTATGGAACACTTATAATCTTGATATACTAAAAAATCCTTTTTCCACTTTATACTGCTCAATATATATTGCCATTTCCCAATTTTATACCAGCAGTCCCTATAATATTTAAGCATATTAAAATCTAGCATGAAGTAGTATCTAGAGGATAATCAGTAGAGCAACTTGGCCATTCAAGAACTATGTCTTTATATCTATTGGATCCAAGTATTCATTTAAAACTTGTCTCATGTTCTGGCACAATTTATTTATTTATTCCATTGCACTACAAATTGCAATAGAGACAATTAAGAATAGAATATATCCACAGGATTTCCCAAATAACTCCCGCAATTCCCAAGCAATAATAACTTAAAAGCTGTTCCATAAAACAATTGTAAATTATGTCTAATAATATAATTACCATATTGAAAATATAACAAAATTGTAACTTACCTCTCGAGTAGCTAAGCTATCACTTAATTCCTCAGCTTGGGCAATATTGCCTTCAGCTACACATTTATCTATACTGATTTCAAGGCCAGACTAGAAAACATACCAAAAAGAGAGAAAAAAATGAATGGTCCTCCTAGAATATTAACTGAACATTACAAAAATGTACTAAAAATCTATCAATTCCAAAATAATATGAACATCATATATGTAACTTTCATATATAGCAAATCACATGAGAAAAATTAAGAAAAAAAGTAGATAAGGAAGCAATGACTGAGTAGGGCTCAAAATCTGCTAATTATCAAGACAAATCCATATAGTTTTCTTGTCAAAAAAACTGAAGTAGCTTGCAATTACGATATTCTTTTTGGGATATTCTTGCCAACGTTACAGCTTAATGAGTAGTCCTGGAATGTCTTCCATCCAGGTTGGAATCAAGTCTGACCATAAGTGGGTTTTGATTTCTAATTTGACTAGTCTGCCCTATTGATAGTTACAGAACTGTTGTATAAGAACAAACTTTTGTATTATTTTCACTTTTTTTCAATAAATTCAGCATTTTAAAATGTTAACTAGCTTAGGTGTATCATAATAATATTTTATTTCAATATCTGATTCATCCATTTTTTCCTGAACAAAATATGATATATCTGTATAAACTGCATGGAAAATCCAAATTATTACTGTATCTTTGTAATTCTTAGTTTTTATATTAATCAAGAAAATGATTTCCAAAATGGCACCTCTCATTTATTTCACTGTATTATTGAACTCAAACCTATAAATTGTCAGATGTAGGAAAAGGATACACTTTTAGTTTCTAAAATCAAACAATAAGAATAAGCTTTAAAAATACAGCAGCAAATCCGAAATTATTTTAGCTTTTACAAATCAACTGCAAGTGGGACCAGAATTTCCATTCCTAAGCAAAAGAGTTGTTAAGTGAATTGTATTAAATTGTCTGACTTTCTTTGCCATGGATGTTAACCAAATCACTGTAGTTGTTAAATGAAACACATGGTTGTCAAGTGAATCTGGTTTCCTCCACTGACTTGCTTGTCAGAAGCCAGCTGGGAAGGTTGCAAAAGATGATCACATGATCCAGGAATACTGCAACTGTCGTAAAGACATGCCAGTTTCCAATGGTCATTAAGCGTGACAAATACTTGTAAACCACATTTTTTTTCAGTGCAGTTGTAGCTCTGAACCATAAGTTTATTAAAATAATTATGTCTTCCAATTAAATTTCAGCAACCAATATGACCCTTACCATATTAAGAAGTGGTACCTGAGTAATTTTGTCTTTCTTTTTCCTTAACCATTCTTTTCTTTTACTTGTGTCTTTCTTAAACAATTAACCTGAAAGTGGGGATTTTTCTTTTTTCTTACTGATTCATAAAACAAAAGGTTTTTCCAATTGATGTGTGAAAATGAAAGCTTTAAATGAATATATACATTTTATACCGACATCTATCACTGACCATGGAATACCAGAAGACTGTACTCTCATTCTTAGTCCAAAACGAGAGCACAAGATCAACTTTGTCAATATACGGACCTTATTTCCCCTATTCTTGCTTTACTTTGGCCATACCAATCAGCATGAGTAATTTATGGCTGCTGGGTTACATGGGTTCTGTATGTCTATGTATAGGCATGCATATACATCACATTCCACCTTACCTAATTTACATATTGGTCCTTTTTATATAGTTTGCTATTAATTTTAATATTTTAATTCTTAATGCCTAATGTTGAGATGGGCAACATATACACTTTGTAACGCAAGCTTAAAATCAATTTTTAAAAAATCTAGCAATCACCTTTTGAGTAGTTTCCTTGCTTTCCAGTGGTTTAAACCTATCATTGATTCCAAAATATTGAGTGAGCTCTTTGAAGTGTTTTTCTTTTACAGACTCTTGGCTACAAAGAAAGGAAAAAAGAAAAAAAAAGTTGGGCAAGATCCTACCACAAGAAAAGTCACATATATAAATATGTAACATATTTGCAGTACATTAAATTAATAATTTTATTATTGGCTTATGTAAAGAATATGTATTTTACAGAAATTGTATTTTCTTCTATTTTGTGACTGTAATACAATTCAATTTTATTTGCATTTGCATATTTGACATAAAAGAATATACTTATTTTACGAAAACAAAACCCTCCATATCTATTATTTAGCAGATGGGCATAAGTAATATTTTTTCAAGTAATATTACTTGAAAGGATCACTTCTATACAAAAATCCAGCGATTTCTGAATCACTCAAAGAGAGTGAAGAGAAGCGGAAAATTTTGACTATGTAAAAATAAATTTTAAATAATCGTGTCATAGTTTCAAATACCTTTCAGTTATTTCTTCACTGCTTTTCATTTTACCTAAAAAAAATATCAAACTCTAAAATTTAGTATGAAAAATTTATCACAAATTGATACAAATGTTTTAGGACTTAATTCTGATGCAGTAATAGACATGATAAAATCAGTGATGTTTGAGATATAATTAACAGTGAAAAACAAAAATTTAAAATTAAATCCCACCTTAGACACAGTCTACTTCCAAACCACTAAACACAAATGTGTACTGACACCTAAGTTCAGAGGGAATTAAAGCTTATATGCTCTGAAGAATAATATATTTAGCTGTATGTGGATATTAAGCTAGTGGTGGAGGGACCACCTTTAGCTATAATAGAAATCTGAGAAATACACTTTATAGTATTTCTCACATTGCTGAAGTTTTCAAAACAGTGATGGAGTGATACAGCCAGAGGTAGGTGTTGTTTTGTTTTGAAGGTTCAGACTGAATGGCAGAATCAGTTTCATTATACATTGCCTTTATACCTACAGCCAAATAATTTGTAGAAAAGTTATTTTTGGTGCTTTAGTTAATCAAGCCTCCTTATAAGATTTACTTAGCCATATAAAATTGCAAAAAAAAATTAAATAAATAAAAGACAGTCAAAAGAATACTTCATAACTGGGAAAGGTGTGTGTGAATGAAGTAAACCCTTTAAAGGTAAGAACACTATCAGGAAACAGGTCATTAACCACTGAAGATACATATTTTCAGTCATAATCACTTACTACAACTACAACTTCCTGTATAAGCATTGTGTGGATATTACCAAAAGTAGCATTATTCCAAAACAGAATAATAATTACAGAGACAAATCAGCTTAATGAGTTTCTAGTACAAAGGTTCAGACTAATTTGCATACAATATAAATATGTGAATACCCAAACTGCATAGTCCACTGTAGCCCATAACTCCTGACCTTAAGTGATTTGCCAGCCTCAGCCTGTAGAATAACTAGATTACCAGATTCATAGCACTGCATATAAATAAGATGTTAACTCAAAAGCCACAACGGAAGAGTCCTTTTTAAAATTCTATATGGTCCAACCATTAAAACTCAGAAAAGAATGTCTGGGATATAATTAACAGTGAAAAAGATCAAAATTTAAAAAATTGCAGTGTAGAATTGACATTTGTTCTCTTTCAGCATACTTCCACAGTAAAACATAAGATATCCACCTGTAATACCACATGCAAAAATTACAATAAACGAACAAAAATGCATAAACCTATTTCATCCATGTGAATATTTTCTATGATGAATGACTTCTCTATAGCCTTATCAAAAAAAGTTTAGAAAAAGTGCTCATAAATTCCTTCATGATTTGTTCTACTGCAAGTAGGCTGTGGTTTAGAAAAAAATGCCAAAGCTTCTATAAACACCTGGAATTTAGGTAAATATTTATATGAACTAGACTACAGTAAATATTTTTTTCTACTAGATAACAACGAAATAACATAAAATCAATAAGGCAATTATAAAATTACCTAATCCTAACACCAAGTTATTTGGGAACTTTATTGTAGTGTTCCCTACATTTTAACAACTGGAAACAAACCACCTTTTGGGGAATGTTTTCTCTTTTGTCGTTTATTTCTTTGACATTTTTCTTGATTTTTCATGTCAAGGTTTTTCTTTTTCAGATTCTGAAATTTCTGTTGAAAGAAAAAAATGATTTCTTTTACTTTTGTTTCATTACTGTAAATTGGGTAACATAAAACAAAAAATTATTTTAATTGATCCACAATACCAAAAAAGTACAAATATTCATAACACAACAGTAAATGAAGATGATTACAATATACACTGAACATACGCAATTCAGTTCTCATATATTCAAGAATTATCCTGATATTACTAAATGATACTTTTCACTTTCTTATGTAGGAACATTCTTTAGACATTGACTTTGAAACTCTAAATAAAAGCTAAGATCCAAAAAGTTTAATATAAGCAAGCATGGCCAATGGGATTCTATTTTCTCCTCTAAAAAACATAACATCACTGAGCATTATGATTGTGGAACACTTCAGAATACATGGGAATGAGAATACAGCAGCTGTCTATAATAATAAAGACAGCCACATCTTCATTTAGAGTTATCTTACTGAACATACCACTTTTGAAACTTGCCACTTTTGAACTTTTTTCTATGTGTAATTAGTCTTTCACACTATCCTAAGGAGCTGAGTTTCTGAAGTTAAGGTAGCTCTAAAACAGCTACATCTCTTTCAAGTTCATGTGGAAGCAATATATATATATATATATATATATATATATATATATATATATATATA